AACACATATATTATATTTTGCTATCTCAGACTTAACTTCTCATCTGAGGTTCTCAGAAATTCCCTTTACATAGAATGTTATTATCCTGTATCAACCAATACTATCTTCATTCCAAACCCATATATTATGTTCTTATATCAACCAATATTATTTTCATTCTAAATCATATATTATGTTTTGCTATCTGAGATTTAACTTCGCATCTGAGGTCTCCAGAAAATCCCTTTACATGGAGTGTTATATCTACCAATACTATCTTCATTCCAAAACCATATATTATGTTTTGCTATCTGAGTGTTAACTATTCATCTGAGGCGTTCAGAAATTCCTTTTACATGGAGTGTTATTCTCTTATATCAACCAATATTATTTTCATTCTAAATCATATATTATGTTTTGCTATCAGGGTGTTAACTTCACATCTGAGGTCTCCAGAAACTCTCTTTATATGGAATGTTATTATCTTGTATCTACCAATATTATCTTCATTCAAACCCACATATTATATTTTGCTATCTTAGACTTAACTTCTCATCTGAAGTCTCCAGAAATTCCCTTTACCTTGAGTGTTATTATTCTGTATCAACCAATACTATCGTCATTCTAAACCGATATATTATGTTTTGCTATTTGAGAATTACGTCTCATCTGAGGTCTCCAGAAATATCCTCTATATGGAATGTTATTGTTATGTACCAACCAATATTATCTTCATTCCAAATTATATATTATGTTTTGCTATCTTAGACTTTAATTTTCATATGAGGTCTCCAGAAATTCCCTCAACATAGAATGTTACTACCTTACATCGATAAAAAATATTTTAATTCAAAACTCATATATTATGTTTTGCTATCCGAGTAGTAACTATTAAACTGAAGTCACCAGAAATTCCCTTTACATGGGATGTTATTATCCTGTATCAACCGATATTATCTTCATTCCAAACCCATATATTATATTTTGCTATCCGAGGATTAACCTCTCACCTGAGGTCTCCAGAAATTCCCTTTATATGGGAATGTTATTATTCTGTATTAACCAATATTATCTTCATTCCAAATCATATATCATGTTTTGCTATCTGCGAGTTAACTTCGCATCTGAGGTCTCCAGAAAATCCCTGTTCAAGGAGTGTTATTATCTTGCATCAACCAATACTATCTTCATTCCAAACCCATATATTATGTTTTGCTATCTTAGACTTAACTTTTCATCTGAAGTCTCCAGAAATATCCTCTATATGGAATGTTATTGTCATGTACCAACCAATATTATCTTCATTCCAAATTATATATTATGTTTTGCTATCTTAGACTTTATTTCTCATATGAGGTCTCCAGAAATTCCCTTAACATAGAATGTTACTACATTACATCGATAATAAAGTATCTTCATTCAAAACCCATATATTATGTTTTGCTATCTGAGTGTTAACTATTAAACTGAAATCTCCAGAAATTCCCTTTACATGGGATGTTATTATCCTGTATCTACCAATACTACCTTCATTGCAAACCTATATATTATGTTTTGGTATCTGGGAGTTAACTTCTCATCTAAGGTGTTCAGAAATTCCCTTTACATGGAGTTTATCATCCTTTGTCAACCAATATTATCTTCATTCCAAGCCCATATATTATATTTTGTTATCTGAGTGTCAACTTCTCATCTGAGGTCTCCAAAAAATCCCTTTATATGGAATGTTAACATCCTGTATTAATCAATAATTTCTTTATTCCAAACCAATATATTATGTTTTGCTATCTTAGACTTTATTTCTCATATGAGGTCTCCAGAAATTCCCTCAACATGGGATGTTAATACCTTACATCGATTAAAAATATCCTCATTGAAAACTCATATATTATGTTTT